TGAGGGTCGAAGGAACCACCTGCCGTGACCAGGGGTGGTTAAAGTTTTTCACATGTCTACACGGGGTGACACGGTAAACACGATGGTTGTCTCCCAATGAGATTACTTGTATGCATGTAATGTTGAGGTACGTACAGGTAATCACCCCTACAAATTTTCCTACTCATGATTTCCACTCACTGTGCCACATACGTCTGTCACATTCACTCGCCAAGAAATCACTGAGTAAGGGGCTTGTGTACAGTTATCAATAAATAATATATGCCCTTACCAAGATATGGTTCCATTATTGTTCTAAACCACATCACCAGAGATACCCAATAACTTCCTGGTATCTCCAATGTATTACTGCCAGTGTACACAATTATATCCAAAACCAGACCACTTTTGCAATCACACAGTACAAATAACTTTATACCAAAGCTTTTCCTCATGCTTGGTATAAACTGCTTGAATGACAGTCTGCCTTTGAACAAAATAAAAGACCCCATCAATAACAAGCTTCCTGAAGGGATAAAAATACATACAGCAATTTTGTTTCAGGTGTATGAACACATTCCTGATCTTATATAACCTGTCGTTTTTTGCCAGGCCTTGCTTTGTCTGAGAAGTGTAGCATACATAACAGTAGCAAAAATCGATTCATTTGGTATAACATCACAAAAACCTGGGTTGAAATCAGGCGTTCCTTCGACCATATGTGGTGACAGTGTGCTGATACACATGTGGCATAAACATTATTGTGGCAAAGAACAGGTAATCTCAGCCACAGTTGTGTCCTTCCACTGGTGTAGCCGTGACCTTGGTGAAAAATTGTTTTTGCCAGGGAAAGAAACCATAGTATGTGTTGCTTTCCCTGACAATAATTTCCATCAGGGGTTCATCAAAAAACAACTAAAAGCATTCTAGTTCAGTGGTATTGTTCCCAAGTGTACACAATGGCTGTATTCCATTTTGTGTTTCATCAAAGTGGGGATTGGGAACAAAATTGGCACCTTGCTGCCCAGAGTAGTCTGCTGGTGGGTACTGGATATTGAAAGGTTGGTTGGGGAAGTTGTGGTTGTGAAGGTTGTGGGAAAGTGTGGGGGTGGCTGAGGCTGGTTGTGGCTGTGCTTAGTTAGCAGGTGGGGTAGCAGCATGGCCAGCTGCTGGTGCCACATGACTCCAGCCACCAACCACAACACACCACCACCTGCTGCCCCACGCACATTACGCATCCCCATTGTAACAATTCATCATCATCTTCACTCTCAGGTCGTGGTTGAGGGCCACGGTTATACTCTGAGATTTACTCCTTTTCCTTGAAATGACATATGGCACACTACCAGAACGCTGCTGCGTTTGTACATACGCGCTTCACTGGAGATATTTTCCCTCACTGTCGAAACCGAGCTGCTTTCAATAACTTGGAAATCACTATCACTTTCGCTGCTCACACCCGAGTCCTGTACACGGGGAATAGTTTCCTTTTTTGTCCTGGTACGGGTTTGAACATGAATGAGACGGCCCAGCACCAGAGGTGGAAGGTTGTGGGTCATCTATGTTTTCATCACTAATTATGTTTTACTGGGCATGCTTTCAGTCACACCCTCCTGGAAAGCCATGGAATTCACTTTCTCTGGCACTTCCATCGCTTTTTAGAACTACCCTTTTGGGAACAGAGACCTCCAATTCAGAAAGGAGTAAGGTACTTCATACCACTAGACATCATGAACAAGGACTACTAAGATGGCATTCCCACAATGCACGACCGAGTCCCCGATTTTTTTCATTGTGCGCACACCCATCACGCAGACCCATTCTCTCACATGTAGGCCTACCACTTTCTCCGCTTGATTTGAAGCCGCTAGAATTTACACGTATTAATACGTCGGAAACATTGGCTCGTAAGACGTACATATACGGCCAAAACAGTCAAAGGGTTAATGTAGATAAATGCAAAGTTCTAAATGTTAGACAGGAAAATAACCATGCCACATATAAACTAAATAATGTAGATCTTAATTTTACTGATTGCAAAAAGGATTTAGGAGTTCTGGTTAGCAGTAATCTGAAATCAAGACAACAGTGCACAAGTGTTTGCAATTAAGCTAACAGAATCCTTGGCTTCATATCAAGAAGTATAAACAATAGAAGTCCTCAGGTTGTTCTTCAACTCTATATATCTTTGGTTAGGCCTCATTTAGATTATGCTGCACAGTTCTGGTCACTGTATTACAGAATGGATATAAATGCACTGGAAAATGTACAAAGGAAGATGACAAAGTTGATCCCATGTATCAGAAATTTTCCCTATGATAATAGACTGAGGGCCTTGGATCTGCACTCTCTAGAAAGGTGTAAAATTAGGGAGGAGATGATTGAAGGGGTATAAATGGAAAACGGGAATGAATAAAGGGGATGCAAATAGTGCGCTAAAAATACTAGCCTCAACAGGATTGCAGCAATGGCTTTAAGCTGGAAAAATTCAGATTCAGGAAGGATATAGAAAGCACTGGTTTGGTAACAGAGTTGTGGATGAGTGGAACAAACTCCTGAGTACATCATAGAGGCTAAGATGTTGTGTAGTTTTAAAAAATAGGTTAGACAAGTACAGTGGTACCCCAAGTTTCGGCCATAATTCATTCCAGAAGGCTGTTCAAGTGCCACAAGGAATAATATAAATTAGATTAGTCCATTTCAGACCCCAAAAATACACTTACAAAAGCACTTACAATAATACGCTTACATGTACATAATTGTTCAAGCTGGGAGTTGTACGAAACTTGGAGTACCACTTACATGATGGGTATGGGTGTGGGTGGGTGGGGAGTTTGACCAGACTAGCTTGTGCTACTAGGTCAGTTTGCTGTGCTTTTTCCCTTTAAGTGAATGTGCCTGACATGACTAGGTTAAGGCACGGGCTTAAGCGGGGGAGAGAATTGGACCTGCCTCGCAGGGGCCCAAAGTAGGCCTCCTGCAGTGTTCCTTTTTTCTTATTTTTATATATGGCAACCCCAGGTACTAGAAATATGTCACTTTGTCTGACTTTTTTGGGTTATCCTAGGTTCTCTAGACATATGATGCTATGCATGATAATCTATGTAGAGAAAAATAGCCTTTTTTTGTTTCAGTTTTATGGTGTATTACGAGTGTATATCAGAGTTAGTCCTGTGCTATACTCTACTTTCTCTAATATAAGCCCCCAGGAAGGGATAACAGGATGGTACTTGTATCCCATATCCTCTTCATGCCTCCACCAAACCGCTCGGTATTATCCCCTATTATTCATTCTGGAGTAAATAACATGTTTTTAGTTATTTATATTGTTTATTATGTAAATATTAGATGGGTAAATAAGCAGTAGTGTTGATATTAGCATAATAATAAAGCATATTCCCCTGCATCACGAGACTGAGCTCATGGCAACTGACAGTGGCTTCAAAGCCACCTTATCTTTTATGGACAACATATTGTGTATGTGCTTTACACAACAAGAAGGATTTCTTTTATTCGTTGGAACCATGGCTAGGTCTAAAAGTAAGCAGTTTTTAACAATAAATGGAGAAAAAGAAATTGGAATGACTTATGCAGCAAGTAGCGCCGCCAAACAGTAGCAGCAGGTTGGTGTGGCGACCCTTGAAATTTGAAATTATGCTAGCCAAAATTAGTGCTGAAAAACTGATGGAACCAGATAAACTATCGGATTTGTAGGTGGGAGCTGTACTTTACAGTGGACCCCGATTTTTGTCCGGTGTGGAAATCATACAATTCAGATTTTGAGCAATTTTTTGGTAAAAATTTTCCCCCGGGTTTCGTACATCCACTTGGAAATCGTCCATATTTGATGCGCCCTCCCACCCAGGCTGCCGCTTCTCACGCATACCAGACTCGGTCTGCCTCTGTCTCTCATCGAGTTAGCAATACTCCAGCGTTCATCCATTTTTTTATGCTTGTTTATTGATTTGCGATTGTGAAATAAACCACCATGGTCCCAAAGAAAGTTCAGAATGCCAGTCCTTTGGGTTTAAAGAAGGTGAGAAACACAATAGAATTCAAGAAAGAACTCATAGAATGAGTTGCAAAGTTTTGTGGGGAAATATCACTACCACCCTCTACAAAGGTAGAGGGTGGTAGTGATTGTGGTAGAGTGGTAGTGATGGTGGTAGAGGGGGTAATGATGGTGGTAGAGAGTGGTAGTGATGGTGGTAGTGATGGGTAGAGGGTGGCAGTGATGGTGGTTTAGAAATGGGGGTTTGGAGGGTGGCAGTGATGGTGGTAGTAATGGTGGTAGAGGGTGGCAGTGATGGTGGTAGAGGGGTAGTAGTGGTGGTAGTGATGGCAAACAATCAAAGATGTTGAGAATTTTGTTGGTGTGGGTCAACAAAAAACAGTTAGTGGGAGATAGTGTTGTGGAGGCGATAATTGCGAAAAGGCAAGGCAGATGCAGGGGGATCTCGTAAAGAATGTGCCAAAAAGGGGTCTTCAATAAAGGTAAAACTGATTTAAACTGTTCATTTATCCATTAAAATTAGTGCTTTATATTTATTTCTCATTTTTTTCTCTATGTAAACTATAGTTATTTCATAAAAATGAAATTTTTTGTTAATATTTTTGGTTGTCTGGGAGCAGATTAATTGAATTTACATTATTTCTTATGGAAATATTACTTCGATTTTCATCCGTTTCAAAATTTTGGGCCGACCTTCTGGAATGGTTTAAAGGGAAAAAAAACTGGTATTACTGTACGTGTAACTGTAAAAAATCTTAAATTGTGTAGGAACCTGAATAAACCTATTTATAGCTGTGCTCTAATGCATAGCATGTAAGTCATTAATACATAAATACTAATGATTTACTTTTACTGTCTTTAAGAGAAAGTAACATAAATAATACATGTATGTATATAAACTTAGTTTATTATCCTTAAGGGATATTAATATGAAAAAATATAATGACTAACAAATTTTCTGTCTTTAAGGGATATTGACATGAATATAATATACACTGTAATGACTTACTTTTACTGTTTTTAAGGGTGATCTTGCTATTCTTTCCTTAATTTCCTGATCCAAGGGTAATTTTGACAATCTTCGAAAAGACATGACAGAGCCTATTACAGTGTACTGGGAGTCTTCAGGTGATCTTGACCCCAGGTGTTGATGAGAATATGAGGCACAAACTACAAATGCCGCTGAGGGAAGGTGGTCTGATAATGAAGGTGCTGAGGCCAATAACTACACCTGCCTTCGAGGATGCAGGTAAAATAAAATAAAGATAAATATTTCATTTCTTTGCAAGGTTACAATGTGTAATTACAGTTTTGATTAGTCAAGTAGAAAGAAAAGCCACTATCATGCCGAGGGATTTTGGGTAGACTTATCCTAATACATAGTAACTACTTAAGTCTAGACAAGATAAGTGTGGTTAACTTTTTGATAAATCATTACTTTATCTTAATACTAATGTGAGGTAGTCAAGGTGGCAGTTTATAAGAATAATAATTTTTAAGTTGCACAAAATTAAAAAAAAAATATTACAATCAATGGTTCAAACTGTAATATTTCATGGACTGGCAGATGTTTTAACCCTTAAATGGGCCAAACATATACTATATGTTCACCTGCGCAGCACCCTGAATATTTTGAGAATTTTTTTTTTTTTTTATAGGAAAAAAGAGCAGTTTGGGATCCCGGGATCCCAATTTTTTTTTTATGGTGCACACTGAGTGTGCACACCCATTCTCTCATGTCTAGGGCAACTCAGGCCTATCGTGCCAATGTTGAATGAATGACAAATGAAACTTATATATTACGTTTTTGGGGCGCTACGTGAATGTTATATTACGTTTGGACCGTTTAAGGGTTAATAACTCAAGGTCATATAATATTTGGGAGTTGCTGAGGTGTTGATAATGGTGTTGAGGGGACTAACTACATCTGCCAATGAGAACTGCAAGTGGTGTGCAAGTATTGATTTATGAGGCACGAATTACATCTGCAGCTGAGGGATGCAGGTGCTGATGATTTTGACGACATGAACTACACCTGCCCGCTGAGGGTTGCAAGTTTTGATGAGGATATGAAGGCACTAACTACACCTGCCCTGAGGACTGCAAATGGTTTGCAGGTGTTGATTATGAAGGCATAAACTACATCTGCTGCTGAGGGATGCAGGGTTGATGATGATATGAAGGCACTACACCCGCTGCTGAGGGATGTAGGGGTTGAGGCACTAACTATACCTGCCACTGAGGATGTAAGTGTTTTGCAGGTGTTGATGAGGATATGAAGGTATGAACTATACCTGCCACTGAGGGATGCAGGTGTGTATTGATAATGAAGGTATTGAGGCACTAACCCCACCTGCCACTGAAGACTGCAAGTGTTGTGCAGGTGTTGAGGCACTAACTACACCTGCGACTAAGTATCACAGACGTGATTTATTTTTATTGTAATCAAGGAGGAAGTGCTAAACCCGTATTGATTATACAGTTCCAGTGGGGGATAAGTGGAAGGTATTCAGGCTTAATGCAGGGAACTGAAGCACAGATCCAATTCCCTAGATCAATAGCTTCTCACCACAGTCAGTGGCCAGGCTTCAAACACCTTTTATTGTACAGCAATAAAGGAATGGAACAGACTCTCCGCACATGTCAAAAGGTGCCTGATGAATGTAGCGACAGAAAGGGAGGAGTATGAGTTTTTTATTTTTTTAGCTAACACACATGTAAATATAAAAAAACTCATTTTGCCTTTTTCCTAGTCTATTTCCCCCTTATAGTACTGTATAATAATATTATCTCCTTTACAGTATAATAATAAGGTATTAAAGGACCCCAATGGAATTAAGTCACTCTGACCTTCTTGGGTTATCCCAAAGGGTTCTCTACACATGTGCTATGTATGATAATCTATGTAACTGTACAGTATCTGTGTATAAACTGAATAAACTTACTAGCGTCTAAGAACCTTCCTTGGGGGGGTTGCAGATGTTGAGGCACTAACTGCACCTGTACCTAGTACTGCAGATGTTGAGGCACTAACTGCACCTGCTACCTAGTACTGCAGATGCTGAAGCACTAACTGCACCTGCTACCTAGTACTGCAGATGCTGAAGCACTAACTGCACCTGCTACCTAGTACTGCAGATGTTGAGGCACTAACTGCACCTGCTACCGAGTACTGCACATGCTGAAGCACTAACTGCACCTGCTACCGAGTACTGCAGACGCTGAAGCACAAAAATGCACCTGCTACCTAGTATGCAGATGTTGAGGCACTAACTGCACTTGCTACCCAGTACTGCAGATGCTGAAGCACTAACTGCACCTGCTACCTAGTACTGCAGATGGGTGAAGCACTAACTGCACCCCGCTACCTAGTATGCAGTGCTGAAGCACTAACTGCACCCGCTACCTAGTACTGCAGATGCTGAAGCCACTAACGCACCTGCTACCTAGTACTGCAGACGCTGAAGCACTAACTGCACCTGCTACCGAGTACTGCAGACGTGAAGCACTAACTGACCTGCTACCTGTACTGCAGACGCTGAAGCCATAAAATGCACCTGCTACCGAGTAAAGCAGACGCTGAAGCACTAACTGCACCTGCTACCGAGTACTGCAGACGCTGAAGCCTAACTGCACCTGCTACCGATTACTGCAGACGCTGAAGCACTAACTGCACCTGCTACCTAGTACTGCAGACGTGAAGCACTAACTGCACCTGCTACTAGTACTGCAGATGCTGAAGCACTAACTGCACCTGCTACAAGTACTGCAGACGCTGAAGCACTAACTGCACCTGCTACCTAGTAAATGCAGATGCCCGAAGCACTAACTGCACCTGCACATTAGTACTGCAGATGCTTTAAGCACTAACTGCACCTGCTACCGAGTACTGCAGACACTTTAAGCCTAACTGCACCTGCTAACCCAGTACTGCAGATGCTGAAGCACTAACTGCAACCCGCTACCTAGTACTGCAGACGCTGAAGCACTAAACTGCACCTGCTACCTAGTACTGCAGACGCTGAAGCACTAACTGCACCTGCTACGGGGTACTGCAGACGCTGAAAACACTAACTACACCTGCTACCTAGTACTGCAGACACTGAAGCACTAACTGCACCTGTACCTAGTACTGCAGATGCTGAGCACTAACTGCACCTGCTACCCAGTTACTGCAAAATGCTGAAGCACTAACTGCACCTGCTACCAGTACTGCAGATGCTGAAGCCTAACTGCACCTGCTACCTAGTACTGCAGATGCTGAAGCACTAACTGCAAACCTGCTACCTAGTACTGCAGATGCTGAAGCACTAACTGCACCTGCTACCTAGTACTGCCCGACACTGAAGAACTAACTACACCTGCTACCCAGTACTGCAGACGCTGAAGCACAACTACACCTGCTACCTAGTACTGCAGACCTGAAGCACTAACTGCACCTGCACCTAGTACTGCAGACGTGAAGCACTAATACACCTGCTACCTTTGTACTAGCAGACGCTGAAGCACTAACTGCACCTGCTACCTAGTACTGCAGATGTGAAGCACTAACTGCACCTGCTCCTAGTACTGCAGATGCTGAAGCACTAACTGCACCTGCTACTAGTACTGCAGATGCTGAAGCACTAACTGCACCTGCTACCTAGTACTGCAGATGCTGAAGCACTAACTGCACCTGCTACCTAGTACTGCAGACGCTGAAGAACTAACTACACCTGCTACCTAGTACTGCAGACGCTGAAGCACTAACTACAACCCCGCTACCCAGTACTGCAGACGCTGAAGCACTAACTGCACCTGGGTACCTAGTATGCAGACGCTGAAGCACTAACTACACCTGCTACCTAGTACTGCAGACGCTGAAGCACTAACTGCACCTGCTACCTATACTGCAGATGCTGAAGCACTAACTGCACCCTGTACCCCAGTACTGAGAGCTGAAGCACTAACTGCACTGCTACCTAGTACTTGGGGAATGCTGAAGCATAAAATGCACCCGTACCTAGTACTGCAGATGCTGAAGCACTAACGCAACTGCTACCTAAATACTGCAGATGTGAAGCACTAAATGCAAACCCGCTACCTAGTACTGCAGACGCTGAAGCACTAACTGCACCTGCTACCTAGTATTGCAGATGCCCGAGCACTAACTGCAACCTGCTACCTAGTACTGCAGATGCTGAAGCACTAACTGCACCTGCTACCCAGTACTGCAGACCCCTGAAGCACTAACTGCACCTGCTACCTAGTACTGCAGGACGCTGAAGCACTAACTGCACCTGCTACTAGTACTGCAGATGCTGAAGCACTAACTGCACCTGCTACCTAGTACTGCAGATGCTGAAGCACTAACTGCATGTGCTACCTAGTACTGCAGATGCTGAGGCACTAACTACACCTGCTACCTAGTACTGCAGATGCTGAGGCACTAACTACACCTGCTACCTAGTACTGCAGATGCTGAAGCACTAACTGCACCTGCTACCTAGTACTGCAGATGCTGAAGCACTAACTACACCTGCTACCTAGTACTGCAGATGCTGAAGCACTAACTACACCTGCTACCTAGTACTGCAGACGCTGAAGCACTAACTACACCTGCTACCTAGTACTGCAGATGCTGAAGAACTAACTACACCTGCTACCTAGTACTGCAGACGCTGAAGCACTAACTACACCTGCTACCTAGTACTGTAGATGCTGAAACACTAACTACACCTGCTACCTAGTACTGCAGACGCTGAAGCACTAACTGTACCTGCTACCTAGTACTGCAGACGCTGAAGCACTAACTACACCTGCTACCTAGTACTGCGGACACTGAAGCACTAACTACACCTGCTACCTAGTACTGCAGACGCTGAAGCACTAACTATACCTGCTACCTAGTACTGCAGACGCTGAAGCACTAACTATACCTGCTACCTAGTACTGCAGACGCTGAAGCACTAACTATACCTGCTACCTAGTACTGCAGACGCTGAAGCACTAACTGTACCTGCTACCTAGTATGCAGACGCTGAAGCACTAACTATACCGCTACCTAGTACTGCAGACGCTGAAGCACTAACTGTACCTGTACCTAGTACTGCAGACGCTTTAAGCACTAAACTATACCTGCCCCAGTTTAAACACAAAACAGGTTAAGTGTCTATC